ATATTTCAGCATCCAACGTTTTTGCTTAAAGGTGCTACCTCTGATAGCACAAAAAGATGCGCTTGATAATTGAATTAATGGCATTGAAACATTTTACTAAGACATAAATACATTTCTGCTGCAACCAAGATAGAGTGTTTTGCATGCTTGTCCCAGATGGCTTTTTGTAAAAAGATCGCATTTAGATTGGGGAACAGACGGTACTTATTTGAGCACATTTTTGAGTCTCATAGATTGTATTCATAAAGAAAATATTACTTCTCTGAGATGCTTGATATTGTTCTCTTGTATTTATGTAAATTGGGACTAACCTTGCATTATATGTAATGGACTAGGTAGAGTTTCACATTCCATTAAGAAGCTACAGTTTAAGAAATAAACTCTGAGGGGTGCAAAATGAGCGCGCGCGCACACACACACACACACACACACACACACACACACGAAACCCCCCAAATCAAGAAAAATAAGGTACATGATGGATCTTAACTGATCTTTTTGGAAGACATGTTTGTGCATGACAGAATTTCAGGGTTAGTATTTTTAGAAGGATGAACTGTTTTTGAATGATATTTTAATAATTGTTCTTTAACTACATATTGGATAGAAATGGTTTTCTTTTAATATTAGACATGCATGTCTTTTTGCTGCATCATTTATCTCATACTGATTGTAACACTTCAAGGAAACCCATTTCCCATTAATTATTCATTTTCTTTATATGCATCTTGCAGTATAAAGGCAGTACTTAATACATGGCACTTTTATAGTGCTCTGCACTTTCACAGCATTGCTCAGTATCACAGGGCATTGTTGCATTTCCGATTTTGCCTTCCACAGTTGTCTTTTCTTCTCTCTAACGTTCCTATTTTAACTTTGCTTCTCTAAGTCACCTAATATTAGTGACCCACTGTACCACTAATTTAAATCTTTTGGGGAGAGACAGCAATGTTAGTCACTGATACTTGGAAGATTCATATTGTTTCTAGTTCTGTGACAAAGCAGGTGCAGGAATAATAGCTAAGGATGTGAAGGAAGCAGAACTTAGCACAATTCTCCTGCTGTGTGCTATAAAACCAGTCTATTACTGGACTTTCTGCGTTTGATTTAAATGATCCTTATACTGTTAAATAGTATGTTACATTGTTATGACTATTTTCATTGTAATGTAGTTATCTTATGGAGTATGCTTGGACTTAATGAAGAGAAGAGGATTCTCTGTGTTCAGTCGGGAAATCCATGCTATAGGATTAGGGTAGCTAAACCCTGCTCACATCCCGGTAAGCAGACATATATTTTTGTATTTTTTATAGGTGGATACAGTGCAGACTACGCAGTCCCCTGGCCACATTGAGGAATCGTGTAAAATGAATGTATATGCTCGTAAGTGAAATATTTATAAATGAAGCTCCAACTCCAATGTGTGTTGGATCATAAAGCATGTGAACCCTGCTTATTGCCATATTAAGAAATCGATTCCCAGGAGGCAGGGCCACTGCGGAACTAGGAGGACATTCAAAGCAAAGCTCTTTTTTCAGAACAAAACAAAATAAATATAAGTCAAAATTTTGGATTATTAAAACAAAGAATTGTGCAAACAAGAGATTCAGATTACCTCTTGGATGTATTCAGGATGTTTCTGAACTGATTCAAGATTTCAAAACTGAAAATGAAGGGATGTGAGAAAGGTTTTGTAAACTGAAGTCATCATCTATGGAGGAACAAATGCTTACTTAGGACCTAAGTATGACCTGGAGAACAAGACATTTTGCCTTCAATCTGTCTTTGAAAGCATTGAAATGTTGCAACTGAATTTGATCAGATTATTCCTTCAATTAGTAACTGGGCACTGGGTAGGGATGAGTTGAATTTTCTGTGGTTGACATGAGCATCTTATTATGGGGTGTTGAGGGAAAAGAAATATAAACTTGAGGAGAAGCTAGATCAACAAAGAACATGGAACCTATACCTCAGAACTGAATTCCTGGAAAACCAGATACAGTCCCATTTTAAAAAAATCTTTGAACTACCTGAAGAGGGGAAGAAGCTTGATATCTTCTGGATTTTACTGAGAAATGGCTGCAAAAGGAATTCAAATTATATATGCAGAAGAAACCAAAATATGCTATATGGTGCTGTCACATACCCAGAAATCATTCTTTAACATTTCTATTTTTTTTTACTTTAATTAAGAAACATTGAGTAATCCATATGGATAAGACACTCTGAAGTATTGAAAAGAAATGACCTTCCTGTGATTTGAGCAACTGCACAGAGAAAGGATTTTCATTTGTTTAAATGAAAACTTCATGATAGGTGATTCTTCTTAAATTTCTAGTCCATGTTAAGCTAAATATATCATATAAATACAAAGACTATATTTTGGTACCCAAGAGATTAAAAAATATATTTGGACACCACAATGTTATTACATTATTTTATGACATGGGTGAGGGTTAATAAGGCTGAATACTCTGTGCTTAAGTGTTAGAGTCACATCGTTCATCTTTATCTTAAGTAACAGAAAACAGGAAATAATTAAGTATTAATAAATGTTTCAAACTGCTTCTCTGCTGAACTGTAAGGTGTAACTTTGGTTTATTCCAATTTTTGGTCTAAATCTGGTATAGTTGTATGAGAAAACTATGTTGTATTCTATTATTAATGATTCATATATTCTATTACCTGCCTTCTCAATATGCCTTTGGAACTACAACGTTGAGGACTACATCTTTCCTTTTGGTTTCTATGCATCTAACTCTGAATTAGCTCACCTTTTGGGTCTATCTTTTTGGAACTGTCTGCCCCTTTCTCCACGTGTGATAATCAATATTAAGTGGTGGAATTTCTGATATGGTAGAGGTTTTGACCTCTTCATTGTATTAAGAACATATTATCAAAGTCTGTATACTTCTAATGTATTGATTTTTTTCTGTAAGCAAAATCAATAGGCAAAATTAAAATAATAATAACAATTCATTCTTTTTTGAATTGCTTCATATTTTTATATACATATTTTGTTTATTTAAAAAATTACTGATACAGAAAGGCATCATAAGCTGCAGTAATGCTGAATAGAATATATAGCTATAAAGTACAGAAGCGAATAAGCAAAATGAAGAGCTAAAGAAATAAGAAATGAGGGGAGACAGAAAGAGAGTGAGAGAGAATAAAACAAGACAGAAAATGGAGAAAAAAAGAAAAAATAGTGCCTGTCCTTGCTGTGATGGGTTGGTCAAAAGCATCATAGGAAACCATCAAAACTAGAACTACCACTAGCTCTCCAGCTTCTTTAGTTTTTAGGCTACTTTTCCAGCCATTTTGCATGGATCCACCAGCATCTCTAGTCACCCAAACATACTGCTGCTTAGTTCTCAAATAACTTAATTCAGTGAGTCACAAGGGAAAGCATATATGAATTAATTGTTATCCACAACATGCTTGGTTGTGGACCCACAAAAATCATATTTTACACTTGTTAACCCATATTGGTATGCATGCAGAATGGCAAGCATAAAAAACTTAGAGAAAATAAAGAATTCTCCTTTGTTTGGCATGAAATAAAAGATTCTGTGCTTCTGAAAAAGATCTTTCACAACTAGGTGTCAGATGAAGAAGCAGCACCCATTATCCTGTTTCATTAGAATGTACCACTTAATGACTATGTCTCTGTGAAGTCTTCAAACTGAGGAACTGACTGCTAAAAATATTAGATTTTTCACCACTGTCTCTAAAAATAATGTGTTTGGGAACATAATTCTTTCATAAGGTGGAATGCTTAAAATGCTAAGGTGACATGTTCTTTTACATATTGTCCACTCACCCCTTCACTTAATATTGTAATGTTAACAGGAGTTGTTCCTGCTCATTGAGAAGATTTTAAAGCTCACATTTCACGTAATGATTTACAAATCATCTGTGTCTAGGCATATGATTCTATATGATTCTATAGTTACAGGTCATTAACTGCTACCATCTCCCTAATATATGAATGGGGTGAGGAAAATCTTTAAAATAGGACCTAATAGACAAATTCATTTTCTTAATTGAGAGATGTGGGTTAACTCTGGCACAGTCATACTGGTATAACTCCCACATAGAAGAAATGGAGTTATACAGATATAAAAACAGTCCATGTGAGTCAAGCCCAAAGAAAAAGTAATTTCATACTGAAGTAATTTGAATGACCTTTTCTCTGTTTTGGAAAGCCTATCATACGCAAGATCTGACAAAGCATTGCTAATCACTCAATGTGATTCTTTGGCCTAAAGAAAAATGGGGCCAAGAGACATAAACATGGATATACTGTGTTGGTCTTCTTTCTCTATAACTGTTGATGGCCATGTCAACAGCAACACTGAGACATTATAGAGAATAGAAATCTGGCATCTGTATTCTTTTGGAGTAGGAGCAACCTCCTCAAAGTATTCTGCTTTGGTTGGGGACCTGGGGAAAATTAGGTTTAATTAACTACCTGTTGAACGTGTCTCTTTTCCATGTCCATGCAACCTCTATTAGGTCAGTAGTAGTGAATTCATGTCCTATTTTCTATACTTAACGTCCTGCTCAGAAGCAATTAACAGCAGAGGATCCTTGAAGATATGTTGTATAACTACTGTAATTTTCAGATTTCACAGAGTTTAGCAGCCAAGTGGCTCACATAGAAAAAAAACACTTTCGTTTTTGCCTCCTGCTATCATTCCAATGGGGAAAGGTCACGCCAAGCAGTGGGAGGCCAAATGAAAGAGGATTCTTTTCCTGTATGACATCAACTTGCAAGACTGTGAATTTCAGAATTACAAGATGTTATAAAGCTTTTTTTCTACAACTGCTCCTTTCCTTCTGGCCTCCTACTGCTGCTTCATTGTTGGATAAAATCTTTTTCCTGTAAGAGCAAGCTAGCAAAAACTTCTGTGTGACAAGTGAAATTTCACTTTCTTTTTGGTATTGTCATAGATGGGGAAGTAAGTCTGGTCCATACCTGTCTCATTTTCCTAAGCTTTGAAGGTTTCAGTTAGGCCTTTAAAGGAAAATTTGACCTGCCTTATTCACATTAGCAATCCACTGAAACCAGAAAAAAACTACTTATATGAGTAAAATGAAGACAATCTTTCCCTTAATGCCATTTTTATTTTTTTACTTATATGTTTTCCACCATAATATTAAAAAACAGTAAGTGCTACTAACAGGCTGTCTGGGTAGTTGGGATATGCTATCACTACCAATATTTTTTTTAATGTTATAAAAGTAATTATTTGGAGTGAAATAAAAGTGGCAGTGGTGGGAGAGTCAAATTTTGCTAGCCTATTTTTTTTGTTTTTGGTTTTAGCTACCTATACTTCTGTGGGTCTCATATTTCCCTCAGCCAATGGTGACATTCCCATGATGGCAACAGCTTGGCTAGTTTGGTATCAAGAAACATAGAACCATCTCCATAACAGCCAGTTTGATAAGATACCTATAAAACCTAAACTAAAAGTTTAAATGTAACAAACTTCCCATCTAGGCTACATTCTAAGCTGCAAATGAACAGCATAATTTAATTTGAATAATGTTTTTTGTGAAAGGTCATTAAATAACTTAAAATCTCTCTTTGAGATTTCAGACTTATTATAAAATCTGTGTTCCTAACCTTACTGAAAACTCCATCATAGGCATTGAGAGAAGTGTATAAGCAGAAATATGGATTCAGTGACTTCCCACTCACATGCAGTGACAAGACAAGGTTTAAGATAACACTAATTTTATTCCTTGGGAAGGCATTTGCTAAGTTTTGTTGATGACTAGTAAAAAATGATGTTTCAGTCTCTGTTGCAATAACTACATCTACATTTTGAAGTTATACTTATTATGCATACTTATGGGCTTAACATGATATATCTATCTATCTATCTATCTATCTATCTGTGTGTGTGTGTGTGTATTTATTATTTACTTATTTATTTTCCTAGTGGGAAATACATTTAACCTGTTGTACTCACAGGCATTATATTTGCCTTTTGACATAACACTTTGGGTTCATTTTCACTACCTGAATAAGTATTCCCAATTTCTACACAGTCATAAATGTTTAAAGGTAATCTGCAAATATAAAAATCCCTTAAAAAATTATCATGTTAATAGGATAGTGTAATGAATGCCTCAAATAACTTTCTACAGCAGTATGAACATGCCTACACAATTTCAGTGCTCAAAATCAAGCTATTTATTTCAGTTAGAACATGTCAGAAAATATCTAAAACCACAATCTAATTACTCCTCTCCATTATACTCTGGCCTACCATTCCAACACTGGGTTTCCCTTTTGATCTGCAGTTCTCAGTGGCAAGACCAGATCTATTTATTAGTC